GCTCCCGCGCCGCCCCGCAGCCCTGCGCCGCCGCCTCCCCGGCCGGCGCTGCGCTCTGCCCGGACCGCTCTCGCCGCACTCCCGCCCGGCCCGCACTCCGCGCAGGAAGGGGAGGGCCGGGGGGCGGTGGCCGCAGTGACGGGGCCGGGCGCGCCTCTTAAAGGGGCCGCGCCCTGAGCGCCGCACAGGGTCGCCAGGAGGCCCCTTCCCCACCGATCCTCTGCCTGTCCCTGGTCTCTACCTACTGGAGGAAAACAGGCCACTACGGGGGCTAACCTGTCTATCCCGCTCTTAGCCAGGGGCGTCCCATTAAAAGAAAACCCGAGTGCTTCAGAGCAGTCCTTCCAGTGCCGAGGCCTTGGCTAGTTTTCCATACCTGGAACAGGAACACCTGTCCTCTCTTTTCCGCACACCCTGGACACCTACCAGCCTTAGGGCTGAACGCAATATGGAACGCCTAGCAGTGCCCAAACATAAAGGAGTCGTCCAGGTCAGGTCACCGAGGGCCAGGCTGGGTCACCCATGCCAGCAGCCGTATGCCAGCAAACCTCAGCTGTTGGAGATCTGGGGTGGATGATGAAGCTTAACAATGGCCACACAGAACTGTCACAGAACACATTGGGTGATTAATACGAATTTCTCTCCCAGGTTATTCAACGTAACTCCCTTCCTGAGCTTTGTATTTGTCCCGAATTCTTGTGACCTCCAGAGGCCAGTGTAGGTTTTTTTTGGGGGGGGGGTATCTGATGCAGAGCTCTAATTCATATTCACCCCCCCCCCCCCGCACACACACACAAGCCTCGGCCTTAGCCAACGCTGAGAGGAAGATAGGAAATCTTTGAAGGATCCCCAGGGAGGCTTAGAGATTTCAACTCAGTAGAGACTCTGTAAGGATTCTCCTTGTGAATAGAAATGAAACCCAGGCCAGCCTGCTTGGGGGCGGGGGGGGGGGGGGGGGGGGGGGGAGCAGGGCTTGGCAGCCAAAGAACTGGACTTGTGTTCTGACCACTCACTCCTCCGTGCCTCAGTTTCCTGAGCATTGAAATAAAAACCAGAACACCTGCATACAAAAGCTGTTATTTTCACAGTTGTGAGAGGTTACCATGCTTTTCTAGGGAAATTGAACCCTATTCAGCCAGACTGGCAGGGTCTACCTGACACAGACTGGTTGTGACCTTGGTGATTCCCGTTCCCTCTCTAGACATCACTTTTGTCCTCATTTGTAGCATGTTATGAGCCCCTTGTCTAAATTGCCCCAATAAGGCAAACAATACTCCAGGGGTTCAATCTGATTGTTAATGTTGGTAGGGCTAGCTTGGAAACTCCAAAGTGCTGTGTAGCTTACTGCTGCCCTCTGCAGGCCTCTCTAGTTTCCTGCCCTTCTTGTCCCCTCAGTCCCTGGCTACCTCACTCATCTGAGCCTGATAGGCTATATACAGTGCATTTTGCAGAAAGGGAAACATCTGGCTGGTGCCCAGACTTTGGGGCAACAGAGGAATCCCAGAAGTGCAGAAGTGAACAGTGAATGTTTCCTCCCCAGTAGATGCTTCTCTACAACAGGTAAAATAAATCCTGATGCAGGTGGAGGTCGGGGGGTGGGGGGGCGTGGGGGGGTTGGCTAAACGGTAGAGTGCTCCTCTGGCATGACAAGCCCATGGGTTAATCCCCAGCACTGCAAGAAAGAAACAAAAAACAAACAAACAAAAGCAAAGCCCTGGCCTACAGGGTCAGGATTGATACTTCTAATGATTGGTTGAGTCAGCTGAGGAATGAACCAGGTGAGATGAGAACTCAGGCCTCTGCAACCCCAATCCCTGGCCATCAACAAAAGGATTCCTCCAAAGACAAAATTCTTTTTTTCCCCTGCTTACTGGGTGCTTCAATTTCCAGAGGGAATTGTCAGTTCATTAGGCTCCATGTGATCATTAAATGATGGGGAAAGAAAGGAGTACTTTGGTGGGGAAGGGTGGTAGCTCTCTGATTCAGATTCCAACTCAGCTCCATTTACTCAACCATTCATTTATTTTGAGAGGAGCGTCTCACTGTTGCCCACACTGATCTTGAACTTCTGGACTCAAGTGACTCAAGTGACCCTCCTTCTGCCTCAGCCTCCTAAGCAGCTGGGACGATGGGTATGCACCAGCATTCCCAGCTTTTAATGTTTTATACATAAGCAAACTCACTTCAAAAACTGCAAAGCTATTTAATTGGGCTTTGCAGACTCCATTCTCTTGGCATAACAAATTGCTCGTTAAGTATAGGGACATATCCGGATACTGTCTTCCTTCCCCCAAGGACATTCCTTCATCCTCAGGACCTCACTAAAGCTGTTCTAACTCTAAGCTTCTGGTCTTTTCTGCATAGAGCCTTTCTATCTCCTCTCTCTCTCTCTCTCTCTCTCTCTCTCTCTCTCTCTCTCTCTCTCTATTTTCCTATAGGAAAAAAGCTTATAAGCTTTCTCATCATTTATCCTTCCTAAGGGAAAAAGAGTAAAGAGGGACATGGGGTCCAGATATATTTAACAATCTTAACTCCCTATTCAGTGTCTGTTCCAACCAGATTTCAACTCTATGTTATCCAGGAGAGGGCACAGACCAAGGAGGAGAGAGAGAGAGAGAGAGAGAGAGAGAGAGAGAGAGAGAGGGAAGCAGGTATATTTCTCCTGGGCACACCCTTAATAACCTATGAGACTATACCTGATCCAGAACAGAGATGTGTGTAGTATCTTCAGGGAATCCAGAAAGAGGCAGAGGTTGGGAAAAGGCTTGCTTAGGCAGGTGGCAAGGAACATAGGGGCAAACACAAGGAGACTTCTAGGATTTAAGGAACAGCTAAGTTAGGAGATAAGGCTGGTATGGGCAGCAGCAGGTGAGGTCAAAGGTGAGGTAGCACCTTCTAGGCCCCAAAAAGTTTAGGCTTCATTCTAAATGCAGATAAAGCCACCAAAAGGTTCTCAGCCTGCACAGTCCAACAACTTTCCACCCTGATAGGTATTCTACCTGTGCAGCCACTAGCTTCCCCGTGTGATTCCCAGACACCTAAAATGTGGCATTGGCTACCAAAGGTCTGAATATTTAGTGGAACTTTAATTAATTTGGGCTTAAATAGCCCTAGCAGCTGTCATGTTGAACCAGACAGTAAGCAGAGGGTGACTTGCTTGATGTTTTTCGTGGGAGAATCGGGCAGAACAGTGGTAAGAGCATGGTGAACAGTCCAGATCTGGGGCAGCTGTCCAAATAGATGTTGGTGATCTAGATTAGGGGAAGAAAGGTGACTAAGAAGGACTGGACTGCAGGGCCATTCTAGAAGTCAAGATCATAGGACTTGCAAATAGGTTGGGTATGGAAAATAACAGAGAACGACCAGCCATAGGGCTAGCAGTGGGATGCTGACTGCAAGGGCAGGCAGGGAAGCCCATGAGAGGCTTTGGGTACCCATTGCTCATCCATAGAGGAATTGGAAAGACAGAGGGTAAGTCCACAGCACCAAGGAACATTGAAGACCATAGGTAAGAACTGGGGTCTAGTTTAGGGGTGTAATTCAATATGAGCCCACTGGCCAAGTATGTTTAACAGTTCAACCCTCAGCCATGGAAAAACAGAAATAGTGAACAGCTGGTGTTTGTAACTACTGCTGAAGACCCTCCCCATCCCTGCAGGGCACTGGGTAGGAAAGAGGCAAGGTTTGGACCAGGAAAATAGAGACAAAGAACCTGAGAAGGAACTGGCCAAGGATGCTAAAGGGGAGAGTGGATTCACTGAGGCAGGCAGTGCCCTGTGCCACAGCCACAGTGTCCTCTGAGGAAGGATACTGGCTGCATCTCCTTCTGTTGAAGGCCAGCAGAGCAGAAATGGCCCTGCAATCTGGCTGGAGAAGCTGCTGGGTGGATGGACCTGAGTGCTTCTGAAGGGTTCAACAATGTAGAGGGACTTTACCAGGGCTCCCCAGCATTTCTGAACAGTGAGTGACTTTATTTTCTTCCACATTGTAACTTTTAGAATTCTTCATAGTGAAGATGAATTTTTTCTGAGGCTGTCTCATATATCCTAGACTGGCCTCAAACTCACTATGTAGCTGAGGATGACCCTTGAACTCCTGCTCCACCTGCTTCTTCTACCTCCACAGTGCTTACAGGTGTGTACCACCATGCCTGGTTTATGTGGCATGGGAGATTGAACCCAGGGTTTTGTGCAAAGTAGGCAAGCATTCACAATTCCAACTGAGCTACATCTCCACTGTCTGTCTGTCTTTTATAATTTGAAATGGTTTTTTTTAGCTTTATGGAGGTGTAATTGATGTATAATAACCTGTATCTATTTAAAGGGTATAGTCTGGGAACTTCTGACATCTGTATGTACTGTGAAACCATCCCTACAATTAAACAACAAACATTTTATCACCCCCAATATTTGTTGTTTTTAAATCTCAAACTTAAAATGGAACAGGAAGATGAGTTTTTTAAAATTTCCCCTCAATTTTCATTATGATTTTGTTTTCTAATACTGAGATCAAACCCAGGGCTTTGAACACGCTAGGCAAGTGCTCTACCATTTGGTTATATTCTAACCCTTCCCTAAAACTCATATGTTGAAATCCTAACCCTCAATGTGATGGTATTGGGAGATGAGGTCCCCTAGGAGTGATTTGGTCACCAGAGTGGAGTCTTCATTCAAGAACTTCAAAGGCTGCTCTTGTTTTCTTCTGTCATGTGAGGCTGTAGTAAGAACTCAGTGGTCCACACCCTGAATGGAGGGGCCCTTGCCAGACCTGATGTTGAACTGCGAGACTTCAGAATGGAAAGAAATAAACTTAAGACTGGGAGTGTAGTTCAGTGGTAATATCTGCTTATTATGTGTGAGGCCATGGTTGTG